TCTCAACCCAACCTGACCTTCACCACTATTTTTCTTGCACAGCACGTGGCAGCCACGTCTTTATATATATATGTGTGTGTGTGTGTGTGTGTGTGGAAGCCAAGTCAAGTAGCACTTATTTATTAAATTTAATGTACCAAGAAAAACAGTCATATCTCCATGCAGCATAAATTGTAGGTCCCCTCTTCATGAAAATACTTGTATTCAACAATCAAAATTTATTCCTTTTTTATTTTTAATTAAAAAAATTAATTTTGTTTTATACGTGGAGTTTTTGTATGTCGTTGTAATTGAGCTAGTGCAATGTACTAAAACAGTCTTGAGTTACTTGGTTATGATCATCCACCACAAACTTCTACACCACTCATCTTGTTTTCTTTTTTTTATTATTTTAAACTTATACTATAGTATCTTATTATGTTACACCTCACCTATATCTAGAGTTGATAAATTAGGTCAATCAAGTTCAATTCAGATTGAGTTTGAAATATCTTATCATCTTAAAAATCTTATATAACTAAATTCGACCCTAACTTTTTTTGGTCGGGTTCAAGCTGGCCTATTGGGTTTAGCCAAATTATCAACTTTATATACACATAAAGTCAGAAATTTCAGCAATTGAGCTTATTTGAATTGAGTTTAAAGTATCTTACTTTCTTAAAAAAGTCAATATAATCAAGTCCAACCTTAACTTTTTTAAGACGAGTTCAGATTTAACCCAAATTACTTAATCTACCTATATCATGTTATGTTTTTGTATTTGATTGCATTTAGTTTAGTCCTTTGTACATTAAATTAGCTTAATCATTGAACCAAACGTTTTTTTTTTCTTAATTGTTATATCAAAGTAAAAAATCAATGGATAAATTGGTGCACTAGTAAAAAAAAATCTTGTATCAAAAAAATATGGACAAACTTTAATTTGAGAGTATGGCATATTCATATTGATATATAATAGGCTTATTATTGATATATAAAGAGTTTATCATTGAAAATTTAAAAATTTATAAGAGATTTATTATTTATATATAAAGGCATATCGTTGACAAATATAATAAACCAGTCATAATATGAGTTAGGTTGTTTATTTAGTTTGATCTTATAATATGAGTTATATCTGCAAGAACCCCAAAATCAATTTCTCTTTTATAATAATTATAATTTTATTTAGTACCATAATATTTGGTAAAGAATCATAATAGAAATTATTATATATATTATTTTTTTCTTACATTTGAAAAAAAAAGTTAAACTCTTGACTTATAATTTTTTTTTATTCCATCATCCACTATCAAACGAAACCTAAGGATATTACTATCACCTACCCTTATTAATTTAAACTCTCACTATGTGAAACTGTTATTACTTATTATCAATAGTTACTTCATGAGTAATTTAAAAATATTTTCAGCATTTTTATTTAATACAATTGTATATCTTAAGATTCGAATTTGAAACATTGAAATAAGTTAATTTAACTCTCTCAACTAATTAAACCAAGCACTCATGAGTCTCTATTGATTGATAATCACATGGACGTTCCATCTTTATTATTTTTAAAAATATTTTTTATATTCACAAAGATTTTTAATTTGGAATCTTAGTGTTTAAATAATTATATAGTCCCTTTTATTATAATCAATGCCTATTAATTATGATATTAAAATTTCACTTTCACTTTGAAAGGTAGACATATTCTCTTTGTTTAGTCTTGAGGGAATTTTTGATGGCCAAGAGTCATGTTAGTGGACAAGCATTCTCTTCTTTTCCTTTTCCATTTTCGTAATGCTATATCCATTTCTCTATCCCATTTTGTCAATTCAGCCTCCACTTTCTCTCATGCCGCCACGTGGCGTGACACCATCCTTCTAGATGCACCCGCACCCCCGTGATCTTTTCCTTTTATAGTTCGCTCGCGTGTACGAAACTTACTTATAAAACTCAGAAATTAATAATTTTTTTTCTTTTAACAAAAATAAAGGCATGTCTGTCTGGTTTTGCCGTAATTTTTTGCGTGCAGCATTCGGTATTTTAGACCTCCCTTACATTAAATTAATGAGACTTGATAGAGATTCAAACTAATTTGAATTGAATTGAGTCGGCACCTTTTGGCCCAAATTTCTATCACTAATGTTTGTTGCATTTCTAATTGTTATGCGATCATTATTTTTTTTTTAAAAAAGCTAATTTATTAAAATGTGCAGTACATTTATTTATATGACCTTTTTGACGTGGGACATAACATAATGATCGAATTTTAAACTTTTGATTAATCTAATATAACTTCTTTACTAATTAGATCAAGCATCCAGTATTATGTTAACACATCATCACAATTTAATCCCAAATGAGTTCCTCAAAACATATATAATTAACATAATATTGCAAATTGAATCAACTTGTTTGATTGAATCGATAAATTATTAAACTAGTTTTGATCAATTCAATAAAATGTTTTGTTCATGACTAATATGACCACATTTTGACTGTAATTTTTTTTTATTAACTCATGATTCAGTACCTTAACCAATTCAACAATAGTCAAATATTCATTACGTAGATAATTAATTAAGCATTCTATTTCGAGTGTTAAATGCGCTGCTGTGCCGTTATGGGCGAAGCAGCTCGCTGATTTAAACATGGGTAAGGTTATAATACCAATTTGATTATACTTTAACTACTTTTTTTTTTTGGATAAAATTTGGCAAAGCAATTAGAGCTAAATCTTATCCATTTTCCAACCTTTAAAGTTAAAACATGACATGTTTCTTTAGTATCATCCACATAACGCGAAAAATAAAAATCAAGCGCCAAACTGTTGGAATTTTACACGAACAAGATTTTGGGACCAAATTATACTAATTCACATGCAGGCAAAACTTTTTTAAAAAAATTACCAAATAATATAATACTAATAATTCATTTATTTTTTATGATAATACCAATTTAATATGGGAAAATAGGAATCAAGAATTGTTAGAGCAAATTTATATCAGTTAATGATCAATTGTTATCAAAATTCAAATGAAAAAAAATTCAAATGGACTATTTTTAATTTAAAATGAGTTATTATTAAAATTTGAATGAATATTTATTAATAAAAGACTTATTCAAATTAATAAATATCTATTTAAATTTTAACAATAAGTGATCTTTAACTGATATAAATTTACTCTAGCAGTTCTTGATTGCTATTTTTTCAAAATAAATAAAAAAATATCAACTAAGGACTGCTGGAGAGTTTTTATATCAATTAAGAATCAATTATTATCAAAATTAAAATAGATACTTATTAATTTAAGTTAATTTTTTATAAATAAATATTTATTTAAATTTTAATAATAACTCATTATAAATTAATAACAATTAATAAAAAATATAAATTTTTTTTAACGGTCTTTCACAACTATTTTCCCATTTGATATCCAGTGTGGGGCTAGTGTGGGGCTGGAGACGCGGGTCAATGGTTTAATTTCAAATTTTTAATTTTTTTTATGATATGAAACAGGTAATATCTGGAAAAAAATTAGACAAAATATTTTTTGTGCAGAAGATTTATCCAGAATAATTGTTGAACACTATTATAGTACTACTTTATTTATATAATAATATAAGTATAAAAATGTAATGTAATGTAATAACAATTTGGGTAATTTTTTATTTTTTTATGTTTTTGACCTGAATTTTTTTTATAATGCCATGGATAAAGAAATTTAATATACTTTTGAGTTTTGAAATAAACATTTTATTAAGTAAAATATAAATGATAATGATATGATGTGAAACCTACGACCGTCTAATAAATTCTTTATCAATCGTACATGCTTCAACGTGGTCCAACCATTTTCAGCCACGTTGCAGGTAACACCCAACTAATCCTATTTTACTCACCTTGCCCAACAATATTACAATAACACCGGCCTCTTTAAATTTTAACTAAAAAAGAACCGCATCTTCAAATCCTTTTTTTTTTTTTTTGGGAAGTATAAGTTTCAAAAATATTAATTACAGTCCAGTCCCGATAAATTTTTTAAGAGATGAATTGTAAATATTGATTCAAATTTTTAAATAGTTGTAAAGAGTTATATTTAAAATTTAAATTTAAATATATTATTTATTATTAAAACACTTAAAGTTATAATTATTTAAATTAATATTTATTATTTCCTTTTAAGAAAATTTTATTGAAAAATGAATTATAATTAATTTCTTCGGGATTTGACAATCATTTTACCTTATTTTTTTCACTGACCATAAAATATTATTTTATCTTATTCTTTACTTTAGAAAAACGGTAAATCAAATTTTTTAAATAGAATTAATAAATAGGATATGAGGCAAACTAAAATTTGAATACCTGTTAGATCATATATTAAAAGATTGTTTTCAATAAAAAAATACATATTAGCAATTTAAAAAAAAAGAAATGATATATTTACTAATAAAGAGACTTAGGTTTAGTTAAAAAAATTAATTTCTCATAAGATGACGAACTGAATTTTAAACTCAGGAGATATGATTATATTTAATGTTTAATCATATTTTGAATAATACTTTTGTGAAAATGAAAAAGAAAGAAAGAAAGGTTATCCTTACTTAAGAAGTATGAGATCTTATTATCTATCTGCAAGTTTAATTTTTTAGTCCATCATTTTTTGTAATTTAAAGAGAAAACTTCCAAAAAATTGAAGAATGGATAAGCATTACAAAGAGACAAGCTCTATTTATTTCACGCCAAAAGCATTTCCAACACACCACCACTTGGGTTTTTCTGCCCCCACACCTCCGGATCGCCACCTCAACGTCACCCCTCACCACCACCGCTTTTCTTAATTATCCAATTCTCCCAACAATTTCCACGTCAGATTCTACAAAATTTTAAAAAAATATTATTTTTCTTGAGAGAAAGAAACACCGAAACGTTGTCGTTTTACCAGACACGCGCTCTTTCTTATATATAGTCCCATTTGGGCCCTCTTCAAAATTATCGAGCAATCAAACTCAAAAACCCAGCAAAGATGGTGAACATGAGCTCTCTACGCGACTCTGATTCTTCAATGGCTTCTTGGGTTCGAGGCAGTTGTATAGGTAAGGGCTCGTGTGGCACTGTGACTATCGGAGTGAGTAAATCCGACGGTCGGGTTTTCGCCGTGAAGTCCGTGGATCTTCAGTCGGGTCAGGTGGTGGCTTTGGAGAATGAGATTCGGATCCTTCGGAGCTTGTCGTCGCCGTACGTGGTGACCGTCCTAGGCGACGACGCTACTACGTCGTATCGGAACTTGTATTTGGAGTACTTGCCAGGTGGCACCCTCGCTGACCTAGCATCTCCGAAGAATGGTGGGAGGCCTGCTGACGTGGACGAGCGCGTGCTGCGGTACTTCACCTGGTGTGTGGTGAACGCGCTGAGGTACGTTCACTCGAGGGGCGTCGTCCACTGCGACGTCAAGGGGAGGAACGTTCTGGTAGGGCTCAATGGCGGCGTGGCTAAGCTCGCCGACTTCGGCTCGGCGGTGGAGCAGTGTTCCTCCGGTGCGGTGGCGGTGGGGATCGTGCCACGTGGAAGCCCGTTGTGGATGGCGCCAGAGGTGATTCGGCGGGAGTCTCAGGGACCGGAATCCGACGTGTGGTCCTTGGGATGCACGGTGATCGAGATGCTCACCGGGAAGCCAGGCTGGGACGAGGAAGGCTTTAACACGCTCAGTCGAATTGGATACTCCGACGAGTTACCGGAGTTTCCGAGTCAATTATCAGAACTCGGACGCGACTTCCTTCGCAGGTGTCTGAGGAGAGAACCAAGCGAGCGGTGGAGCTGTGATCAGCTGCTACACCATCCATTCTTGCTGTCTACACCTCCCAATAAGCTCGCAGAGTCGTCTCCTCGGTGCATCCTCGATTTGATAAACTCAGACGAATTCAAGGAAGAAGACGAAGAAGAAATCAGAATCCACAATGAAAATTCGGCGAATGACAGAATCCGCAAACTAGCTACAAAGTCGAGGGCAAATTGGGAAATGGAAGATGATTGGTTGGAGGTGAGGGCATTGGCGTCGAACACAGAAACCTCTATTGCTTCTTCAACCACTATTAGTGGCAGGGGAAGTGGAAGGGGACACGAAGACGATGAAGGGACAAGTTCGAAATATGTTGATTTGAGGAGGGTAGAAGAGGGAATAGAATTGGGGATAAGTTGGGAATATTTGAAAATGAGGAGGACAAATCTGAGGATAGGAAATTGGGTTGAGGATCACAGTGAAAATGATTGGCGATATGAGTATGGGCTGAAACACGAGGGGGGTCTGTTGAGAAAGATAAGAGCAATAACCATTTGCAGCTTGTGGTGTTATTGTTGGTGTGACTTCATATTAAAAATTAATTTTTTATTGCAAATGAATTTACATATTAAATATATTACTTTATCCTACCCTCACTCTCTTTCTATTTTTATTGTTATATATTATAAGGGTAAAATTTTTCAGATGATAATTCTTTATTGACAAAATATAAACCTCTGAAACCAGGAGAATTCTTTGGCAACTGAAAAAACTGTTTGCAAATGAACAACCAACACAAAGGAACAAGTTAGCGATGTGGTAAGTTTGATATACAATAAAAATCTGTATCATGCCGTTGCTCTTTATGAAAAAATATCATGAATAATAATATAATAAAACAGTATTATCATAAATATCTTCTTTTGTTAAGAATATAAATAAAATTGTTAAATCATCTTTTAACATTTTATGTGTACCTTTGATAGTTAGCATAAAATATAAAAGTTTGAATAAGTTTTGCATTATTCATATATTTTATATAAAATAAATGAGTCTATTTTATATTTAAAAAAGTGAAAACAAAGTAATGACTGATGACTTTCCCACATTACTTTGTCCTCTGACGTTTCCTTGCATTACTATCTATATTGATATTTTTAAATTTTAAATTATTTTATATTATATCTATTAGTAGTTAGTTATCAATATACCTCCAAAGGCGTAAGGCAACTCATGCATCAATTGGATTATTGGAAACTGGATGGATGGGATATGCTTTTTGCTTTTGGGGTAAAAAGATGGGATATGCCTTAGTTCACTTTTTCTGATTTCTTGCCTAAAAATGCCTTAACTCACTTTGGTGTTGACAGAACATGATGTAATGTTGGGTAAGGATGAATGAGAATTTGAATTTGAATTTAGTTTAAATTCTCAAAAATTTGGATGTGTAAAAATATATAAAATTTTAAATCTTTGCTTCATTATAATTTAAAATTCATTTTACATCTAATTATTTAAAATTGGGTTAATAATCAAAATGAACTTTGAAGTATTGTATGAAAAGCGTCATGAATTCTAAACTCTTAAAATGTGCAAAATGAATCTTAAACTTTTAATTTCATAACATAATAAACTCTAATCATTAATTTTTCTAATGCCATCATTGTTCATTTTGTTGATTAGCGCCACAGATCTTAAACTATTACACAAGTAGCGTCCTGAATCATAAACTTTGAATTTCGAGCATATTATCCCCAACATTTATATATAGCATGTTGATTATTATGTAAATTAAATTAAACTCAGCATGGCCTATCGCAGTGAACGCATCATTGGCCATGGCAAACGATCTATAATTTATGAAATGATATTTTTTACCTCTTTTTTTTGAAATATTTTCTAAACGATTGGTATCTCATGCTTTCATATATTTTATACTTCTAATTTATTCTTATTTTAGATAATGTTCATTTATTTGGTTAAAACTTAGGATCTCATTAAAAAAGAAGTTTAAGTATTAGAGGATTTTAATTAACCAATGAATTTGGGTTTTAAATTCTTTGATAAAAACGTCAGACTTCACATCCGTTATTTATAAAATTATCTAATACTTAAACTTCTTTTTAAATAAAATATCAAGTTTTCACCATTAAATAAATAAATATTATTCAAAATAAGAATAAAATAGAGTTATAGAGTATATGGAGGCATGAAATACTAATTGTTTGGAAAATATTGCAAAAAAAGGGACAAAAAATGTTATTTCACAAAATTATAGGTTGTTCACCATGGCCAATGATGCGTTCACCGCAGCAGGCTACGCTGAGGTTAATTTGATCTACATAATAGTCAACATTCTTATACATAAATGTTGGGGGTAATTTGCTTGAAATTTTAAAGTTTAGAGTCTAGAATGCTACTTGTGTAATAGTTCAGGGTTTGTTGTACTAATTAACAAATGAATAGTAATGACGTTAGAAAAATTAATGGTTAGGATTGATTTTGCTATGAAGTTGAAAGCTTAAGATTTATTTTTACATATTTTAAGAATTTAGGGTCTAAGACGCATACTTCAAAATTTATTTTGTTCATTAACCCTTTAAAATTTTAGTCGCTTCAACACTCCCTGTTGCTCTATTAGCATTTTCGCAATTATTACCTCTCTCACTTTCACATTTAAAAATAAAGATAAGCTTGTCACTTTTAATTTTTTATTTTTAATCTCTCTCTCTCTTTCACATTTCTTTGCACTATCTAAATAAAGAATTTTAAATACATAAATTTGAAATGTGATATTTTCAATTTTAAATAAAAATTTAAATATATCAATTCAAACACAAACTAAAAATTTTCTTATTAATTTCTATTATTTTATTTTTTCAATTAAAACATATTTTTTCTCATTTTTACTTTTTAGTTGCATATTACATAAAACTTAAAATTAATATGCCTAAGAATTATATTTTATGTTTGGCCAAAAAATGGATTTTATGCAAAATTTAACTTCTTTATTTATTTTTTGAATATATAAAAACACAACTTTAATTCGAAAGGCAAAATTGCACCTTCAAGCCTCAAACTTTGTGTAAAGTTTTACCTTCCTTCTTTAATTTTATAAAGTATTTTTTAATCATATAACTCAGCATTGGTCTTATTAATAGACAATGATGACATTACAATTTTAAATACTGATAAAAAATCTCAAAAGCTAACAAAGTTTAATTTTAAAAAATAAAAATAATTGGATTAACATATTATTATTTTAATTTTTCTGCAAGATTTAAAAGTGCAATCTCAGCATTTTTTTAATGAAGTTAATGGTATTAGGATTAAAGAATTAAAAAGATACTTTATAAAATTAAGAGACAAAATTAAAACTTTGTATAAAGTTAAAGGATCAAATATATACTTTTGCCATATTTAAGGTTATAAACTTACGTAATAATCCAATATATTAGAATTAATTCATGAGAGATACTAATGGTGGTTAAGTCCAATAAAAAGATGACTTGAAAATTTTTAAGCAAAATCCTAAATTCAAATATTATGAATTATGAAAATCAAGCTGAAAAAACCATCTCATTAGAAACCAACTGAAAAAATGAAAAGAGAGAGATATTATTTAAATAATTTCATGTTATTGATATTATTATATATTCAATGAATATAAACCATGATGAAGATTAAAGAAAGAGGTTTTTTTTTAATTTAAGACTTCAAAAAAATCTTTTTTTATAAGCACAAGAAATAAGTTTTGCCGATGGTAGAAAATATAACCCTAAAAAATCTTTTAAAAGGAGTACACAATACTATTCTGATCCTATTTATAAATTATTTTTAACATATTTCACTAATATTAAGGAAAATCTTAAAACTCATTAACTTTGCTTTAAAATTTAGTAAGTTCTCAACTTTATTCCTATTAAATATACATACTTTAATAACATATTTTTTCTCTCTAACATTCAATGAAGGATAAAAGAGAAAATTTGTGATGAAAATTTAATGACATGATTTATAAATAAAACTAAAAAATTCTTTTTCCTTACTCTATAAATAGGATTAGAGGGAGTACAAGCACATAAAATTTGATGCACCATACTATCCACGTTCCATTTAATAAAAATATACTATTAATTTTATTTAATTAAATTGATATAATTTTATTGAATAAAATATGAATGATATAATGTACTAAGTTCATAAAAAAAAATTTTCGGTACAAGAAGGTAAGAAGGCTCCCCCTTTTGGGGGTGGGGTTGTAAAGCTGGAGGGACAAAAAAGGAGGCGGATCACATGAAGGTGTTATCTAATATCTAAGATGATGATAGAATTTTCAGTGAATTGAGGCCACAACTTGGGCTAAGGTATATCTCATATATCATCAAATAGCACCTAACATGCTAGACAAACAAGCTTGCCTCACGTTTTGTGTCTTTTAAATAATGTCACTCCATGCATTCTGCTATACCTTCCAACTATTTTATCTATCTATTCCACTTTTGCATCATTTACAATATGTTCCACGCTGTTGATTAATTTATGTTTTTATATATCATTGTAATTGTCTGCTTTTTTTTTTGTAGTTCTTTTTCTTAATATGAAAATTATATATAAAAAGACTTTTTTACCCTTGAATTATAAGTTCATGAATATATGAGAGCTTAAACTTTTTTTGTGCCCTTTTGCCCCTTAATATTTTTAAAACGTGGCAATGTGTCCCCTCTTGTTAATTACAAGGTAACATATGTTACTTTTTTTTTTTGAAGAATTACATTGAATTCCTAAAATAATAAATTTATGACAATTAAATTTCTGACAAAAAATTTGTAAAAATCAATTGTAAATATTGATTCTAATAGTAATAAAATTAAGAGTTCTAATTATAAATAAAATATTAAAATTTTAAATATAACTCTTAAATTGTTGTTTAGATTTCTGTTTGTAACTATTTGAATCAATATTGATAATTTATTTTTAAAAAAAATTTATTGAGAATTGAACTGTTATAAATTTTTATAGTTTTGTGTTGTAGAGGTGAAGCCCACATTTTTATAGGTCGAACCAAAGAAAAAAAAGAAGAAAAGAATTAACTTTAGGATAGGACTAAACATGAGCTAAAATTGTTTTGTTCCATTTTTTGAAACAAGACACAAGCAAGGATTATCTTAATCTCATCCCGTCCTATTAACACTTTTAGGAGATATAGCCAGTTAGTTTGCTTTTATGGATCCATCAAGGATTGGTCTTATTATAATTAAATGGTTAATGGGTTCACTTTAAGAAGTCCATCTAGGCTTTCAAAAAAAAAAAAAAAATCCATTTGCGTCATTATCTCTCTTACCAAACTATGATCACTTTGTACGTAGATATTCTTTAAAATGTTAAAAAGAAAAGATATTCTATGAAATGACAAAGGAAAAGGCCAATAAAATGAGCTAATAAAAGTTGACTTGGTTAATACTAATTTTAACTCATAATTTATAAGATGATGAGTTTTAATCATCTTGTTGATGATATAATTTTATGTGTAAGCAAAGTTGTCAAATTTGATAGTAAAAGTAAATTCATAATAAGAATGTATACTCAAATTTTCAATTTGTAAAAATTTATCTCTATTAATAAATAGCCATTAAAAATATATGATTAAATAATTAAAATCTAAAATATGGTCATAATTTGATTTAAATGTATTTTAAATATAAATTATTGAAATTAAATCTATCTGTATTGATAGA